ATTTTTAAGACTAGAGACATAAAGCTGAGCCTGGTAGAGTTCATGTCCATAATCCTGGCTACTCAGGAGGCTGAGATCTGCAGATCATGGCTCAAAGCCAGACTGGACAGGAAAATCCATGAGACTCTCATCCCCAATTAACCAGCAAAAAGCCAAGAGTGGAACTGTGGCTTAAATGGTAGAGTGTTGAGCAAAAAAGCTCAGGAGTAGTGCTGAGACCCTGAATACAAGCACAAAAATAACAAAAACATGTAAGATGATGTTAAGTGAAATGAACCCCAAGATAGGGATACAACATTTTTTTCTTTATTGCTATTGTTTTTAATGTATCTAAAATGTACTATGTAATTTTTTTGTTTCTCTTGTATGTTCTTTCCCTACGATATAACCCCCTGTTTTCACTGTATTTGATTCCAGTGTCCTGCATCTTGCATATACATTTTTCTAATTTGGGGAGGGGAAGGGAAATAACAAAATGCTGAAACAAGGATACAGGTTGACCTATTGTAACAATGACATGTACAAGACACTATGTTGAAAACAAACTTTACAACTTGTGGGTAGGGAGTTGGTTAGGTGGGGAGAGAAGGTATGGTAGGGGAAAAACAAAGAAGGAGGTTACTTGCTTGATAGGAAATGTACTCATTACCTTACTCATGTAACTGTAACCCCTCTGTATACTATTTTTTACAATAAAAAAATAGCAAAAAAAACCCCACAACAAAAACAAAGCAAGAAAGCAAGAAAACAAAATATTCCACTTGAAAAGCAGCACTAAATTCTTAGTGTCATGGGATTGATTAAGCCAGTGTATGGGTCATAATAGCTATAAAAACAGGCAGTTTTATGCATCTGACCATGGGAGGGTGAGATAATCCAGAATCTTGTCCCTTAATAAAAACTAAAAAAAGTGGACAAAATATTGTAAACATTTTTCAGACATTGGACCTCAGGATCTCTGAGCATGCAAATGTCCTTTGCTCCCATTTGCGTTTGGGATTGAATTCAGGGCCTCATGTTGGCTAGACACATACTCTATCATTTGAGTCACATCTCTAGCCCTGTTTTGCATTTGCTATATTCAAGGTATTAGAGACCCACTCTCTGCCTGAGCTGCCTGGACTGCCATCCTCCTACTCCTGCTTTCTTGTGTCACTGGAATAACTGGCTTCTGGACCACTCTGCCCAGCCATGGGTTGAGATGAAGTTTTTTCAGTTTCTTTTTGCTCTGTCCAGGCTGGCCTCAGACTGTAATCCCCTGACCTCTGCCTCCCAAGTAGGATTACAGGCTTGAGCTACCATGTTGGGTTGCAAATAGCTTTTTTTGTGTATGTATGTACTGGTCCTAGTACTTGAACTCAGGATCTGGGAGCTGTCCTTGAGCTATTTTTGCTCAAGGCTAGTGCCCTACTACTTGAGTCACTGCTTCTGGCCTTCTAGTGGTTAACTGGAGATAAGAGTCTCATGGACCTTTTCTGCCCAGGCTAGCTTCCCACCATAATCCTGGGAGCTCAGCATCCTGAGTAGTTAGGATTACAGGCTTGAGCCACTGGCACCTGGCTGCCAATGTCTTTTAAAGGAGGAATTGGTATTCCAATTCCTTCAGTATTCCAATCTGTACAACCAGATATAAAGGCTTTGACCACGCAGATCTCCGGGGGCGGGGGGGGGGGCACTGGAAGAATCAGCATTAATGTAAAAGAACCCTCCCATCTCTCCAGACCTCAGAATGTCTTACACTGCAGACCAGCAGGTCAAATGTGAATACTCTGTGAATCATCCAGGGAGTGTCTTTAAATGCAGGAGGGCTGTTACAGTATGTGAAAGGCTGCATTGCTAGCAAGCTCCCAGAGAATGTCCATGTTGCTGGTCCCCAGACTGCATTTTGAGTAGCGAGATCCCCAAACCACTTATCCATCTCTCCCCGATGTCCACCAAGCCTTAAATCAGCATGCAGTACACTAAAGTCACAGCCTTCCCTCAACCTGTCTGTGCCTCTCATTCCCTCAGCTCTATCGAAGGCCCCATCTGTCTCCACCTCTATTTCCTAAGATGGGGGGTATGGCAACTCTCCCCCTTTCTTCTTCCTCACCCTCACTCCACTCAGGTTCTACCCCTCATCTTTCTTTGATCCAGGGGTTTCCCACCTTGGCATTGTTGACACTTGACCCAAGTGATTCTTGGTTGTGAGTCTAACTACTGGGGCCTTAAATTCCCTGAGGCAGAAAAACACGGCTCCAGTCTCTCACTTCCTGTCCATTTTTCCAGCTACCCTTGGGTCACTTCTATCCTAAAGAGGATATGATGGTTTGTCTTTGTAGCGATGTTCCCTGTCCCATCAGAATCTGCTAACCTTTCCACATTCTGCTAACCTTCTCCACATTTGATGACAAGTCCCTGGCCACTTGCCCTGGGGCTGCCCAGATGCCTAACATGCTATGATGAATGAATATGTGACCAACATGTTATGAGTGAATGAATGTTTAAAGGAATGAATGAATGTTTTTTTCTGGGCAGCTGCAGGTTCTAGCATGGGGTGACTGTGAAGGGAAAGAGCTGAGCTGTTGTTGGAGATACTTTAATGGATCATGCAGAGAGAAACATATTTGCATGGACTAGCTAGTGTTCTGTGGCAACTTTTAGCTTCAACTCTGCCCCTTGTCTTCTAGCTCTTTTTTTTTTGGTGGGTTGTGGGGCTTGAACTCTGGGCCTGGGCCTGTCCCTCAGCTCTTCAGGTCAAGGCTAGCACTCTACCACTTGAGCCACAGCACCACTTCTGGCTTTTTCTGCTTATGTGGTGCTGAGGAATTGAGCCCAGGGCCTCATGCATGCAAGGCAAGCACTCTACCACTGAGCCACCTTCCCAGCCTTTAGCTCTTCTGTTTTCTCATGTTTTATCAGTTGTACTTTGGCTGAGAGTTGCATCTCTACCTATGTCTTTGTGACACCATCCTCTCCCACATTTAGGCTTCAGGCTTCTTTCTGTCTGATGCCCAATTTTTGTCAGCAGGGGAATCAACTATTCTAGTACTGCGGGTTGAAACCAGGGGCTCTCTTGTGCTAGACAAGCATTCCACCACTTTTGAGCCATGTCCCTAGCCCCGCACATCAGTTTATTATTTTTTAATTTAAAAAATTAAAAAAAGATATTTTTGGAGATCTTTTTAATTTTTAAAATTAGAAGTCACATGCCATGCGGGAAAGCTTTTCCCCCTCAGTAGCATTCTCATGTTGATATGAACATGTGTAGCACATACAATACATTGAGAATGAACAACTTTGCATTTGATTTCTTCTTTGGAAAAATAGGAAAGAATTGTTTTCACAAATGAAGCCAAAAGATGATGTTGTCAGCTGTAATTTTGAATGTGTGCTTCCCCTTCCCCTGACTCCAGGAGAGATATTCAGTCTCCCTGTGCTGAGAGCTTGGACTCCAGTGTGGCAGTGTCGACGTGGTGGGACCTTTAAGAGGTGGAGCCTATTTGGGAGGTATTTAGGTTCTTGGTGGCATTAGATAGGAACTGACTCACTGGGGCTGGAAGTACAAGTCTGAAGCTTCCTAGCTTCAAAGTGGGAGCTTTTAGAGGTCACTGAGAAGCGTCATTCAGTGTCCCAGGCCTGGGGTTCTGCCACCAGACACTGAACCCCTGGATGACCCCATTGCCTTATTTGTTCACATGCATAGTAGAACAACATCATGGGCTTCTCATGAATCCCTCCTCAAGACTTCATAGACCTGGTGGTCTTACCGTGACTGAGCTGGCCAACAGCTGCCATGTCTTCATCCTTTGATGCGCATGAGCAGGGCCCCCCGCGTGCCAGAGAGCACAGCCCGCCCACCCCACCCCACCCCTACAGTCTTTTATTAATGAGCCACGAACAAACCATGCACAAACGTTTTTTTTTCCCTTCAATTTAATTGAAGTTACTTAGAAAAATAATCAGGCTTGAATGGCTTTTCCTGGAGGAAGGTTCATGAACATTTCACGCTTTTTGTTGGCAATGTGGAATTCAGCTTTCTTTAACAGTATCGTTAGATATACAGGGAGCGTTTTCTACAACAGACTTCTACTGCATACAAATACGTAAAAAAATGACACGCCACAGAGATGTTAAATGTACGTCCATATGCCGCACTGGGCATGCGCCTGAGAAAGTACGGGCAGCTCCTTCTGTACCTTACAAAGAGTTGCAGACTGAAATTTGCCTGTTAATAGCCAAGTGTCCAGCTGGTTCTAGAAAATTCTGTTGCCTGTTTATCTAGAATCCAGTGGGCTGTAATGGGAAAAGGGGTGCAAGAGGTGCTGGTGGTAGGAACTAGGGGGAGCAATGTAGTCAGTCCTGCTGACAGTGACAGAGTTGGGCAAGGGTGTGTGTGTGTGTGTGTGTGTGTGTGTGTGTGTGTGTGTGTGTGTGTGTGTGTAGAATAAGACTGGGCAAGGGAAGCAGAGGGGTGACTGGGAAAGCAAGAAGAGTCCTTCTGCTTTCTGCAGAGGCTCAGACCCTACCAGCTTAGCATGGCAGGGACTCACACACTTTGTTCTGGAGCTTTCTACCATCACAGCTTAAACCTGTGCTTCTATGCCTCTGTTCCCAGAAGCATGAGTCAGACTGAAGTCTCCAGTGCCCACAGCCATTCTGTGGACCCAAGCAGGCTGCCGCTATTCTTCCCAGACCAGCTGGGGACGGCAGGGCTGGCACTGTGGAGTCCTGTGGTTGATAGCCTAGACTTTTTCCAGTGGAAGGAGCAGGGTAAGCAGGAAACATCCTTGTCTTCTGACTGTACCTGGTTCTGGAAACAGCGGCAGCCAGACTCCCACCTGCACTTCCACCAGCTAAGCATGGGAGAACAAAAGCATTTGCAAATGTTTTTCTTTAAAACAAAAACAAAAAGCCAAGTAAACCATTGCCTTTTGTTTTCTAGGCATACCTCACTAATAGATTTTTTTTTTTTGACGAGGTCATGGAATACTTTCTACCTTCTGCAAAACAGATCAATTAAAAATTATATCATAAGAAAATAAAACATGAACACAAAACAGAACACGAGGAGAAGGAGTCCCTTCAGAAATGAGTAGCTGCATCCATCCCCCGAAGGACAACTTTTCTCCCTTGAAGCCAGCGAAGGGCATGCAGCATGCGGTGAGCCTGCACTACAAGTTAGGGGCAGAAATGCAAAGCATGGGAAGTGGATGTAAATTTCCATTTGCAAACAAACAAACAAACAAAAGAAAGCATAGAGCAAACACATTCAAACTATGAAAATGGAGAAGTACTTCTCATGTGATCATTTGCTCTCACTGAACAACCTTACACTGTGTGTGTGTTTGGAGGGGGGGGTCATTGTGTAACTTACTCACCATCCCCCCTCTTTTTCCTCTCTCCCATCTACAGCCTCCTGAGACCTCCCTCCACCCACCTGAAATAGAATCATTGTCTGAGGGCAGAATCCAAGATTAAAACCATTGCACTTAAGTAAAAGTTTAATCCATGTCATATAAAGTACCTGTATTCTATAAATTATATAGAGACTGCAGTGCTAGTTTGGTTTTGCTTCCTTGTTTGTTTAGGGAGATGGCTGGGGACAGTTTTTACCCTCAGTAGATCTCACATGCTAAATCACTGAAGCTAAAGATTCTCTTGGGAACACCTGCTCCATGCAGTGATCTGCAAAAGAGACTGTCCAGGTCAGGTAAGTCCAAGAAATGCTGCCATAATGCTCTTGGGAACTCACACTGCTCTTCAAGTATCCAAGGCTCTAAAAACTCCTGCAGAAAGGAAATGGACTTCACTTTGTTTCCCAAGGATATGTGATCACAAAACCTTTCATTTGTACCACACCGAAGGGATGTGCCAGAAAACTCTTTTTCTGTAGATCACACCTTAGGAATTTAATGGACCTGTTTCATTAGTGGGAGCTGATTTCTGAGGACAGCACCCACTATCTGGAAAAAAAAAAAAGAGTCCAGACTCCAAATTACAGTTACTGATGCTGTTTGGTCAAACACATTGCATAACTCTCTATCTATCAAAAGTGTAGTAGCTGGGCCTGTCACAAAGCAAAGATAGCATGGAAGAAGGTACCTACGTGCTATAAATAGCTTCAGCCTGCTCCTCTCTGGAGCACATCTTGCTCACATTATATAAAATAATTTCCTCGGTGAGAAGTTGCAGTTGCTGCTCACAGAGCTTGCTATGAGCTTTACAATACCATTTTCATAGTTTCTGTGAATAAATTATTCATTCTTTTGTTTAGAATATCCCCACCTCTACACTACATACTGCATCAAAAACAAAACAAACTTACCCATCCCACCCTTCCTAATCATTAGAACTATTATTATTATTATTACTATATACAGTATCTGCTACCCAATCATTCACTAGTTGTAAGAGGGATGTGGCTCAAATTTCAACCAAAAATCATCAGAAATGACCGCAAAGGGGAAGTAGGTTGGGATGTTCCCGGGAAGTAGTAAGTTTACAGTCTCCCAGTGAAGGTGCACAGATTAAATCACAGAGGCTGTCCTAGCTGCTTATGCATAGCAGCCATGAGAGGCCTAAGGTCTCTTAGCCTCTGGAGGACATGGGAGGGTTTGGAATGTGTGTGTGTGTGTGTGTGTGTGTGTGTGTGTGTGTGTGTGTGAATCTTCATCTTTGACCTTCAGAAGGGGTAGAAATGCTAGACCATTGAAAATCCCAAAATGTATGCATGCCACTCACTCTTAAATGCAGCAAGCAGTAGCTAATGCTTCTGTATGAGAATGTGGCTGCTGGATGCAAGATGACCATGTTCCCCTTTCTTCATCCAGGCAGACATCACTAATCAATCATAGCACAGTTCCACACTGTGCCTGGAGAATCCCTGGTGGGATTTAAAAGAAACCATGACCACCAAATTGCAACAGGCACATGAGAGGAAACACTTTTTGCATTTCTTGTGTTGGGTAATGACCTTAGATTACTAACCATGTCGAGAGGACCGAGCCAAGTGTGAGGTTTTCAGATTTGGGCCAAAGAAAAATGCACAGCTGTAAGGGTTATGGACCTCCTGGGGTTGCTCACAAATAGCCCCTCAAACCCAGGAATATCAAGGATTTGCTCACTGTCGAGCTGGCTGCCCTGTGTCCATGTAAAGCTGCTTCAGTATTGGCTTTGTCCAATGCTCTGTCTGCAGGCCTATATAGTTGGGCCTAGAAGGGAGCAGATGCTCAATAAATACATGCCGACTATAAAGCTATGGTCACTTTGCCTTCACACAACTGGCACTGCCAGTTCATTTCTATATAAAAGCCTAGACTACCAGACTGCTAGTTCTGGTGAAAAATCAGCTCTTTGCTTGGGTTACAAAAAAAAAAATCACATTTCTTTCATGGAAGGGACTTTGGGGTCAATTGAAATTAGCTTAGAGTTAGTCCTTTGTGATGATGCCTCTTTCTTGGGTAGTACTGAGGATTGAACTTAAGGTCTGAGCCATGACTCAGCCCGTTAGCTTTTAGTTTGTTTTTTCAGATGAGACCTCAGGCTTTTGCCTGGGCCAGCCTCAGACTGGGATCCTCCCATCTCTGCCTCCCACCCAGCTGAGATTTTTATAGGCATGCACCACAGGCCTAGCCCTAAGGGCAATAACAACCTACTTATTCCTCACAGAATTCCTGAATGATGGCATTTATGCACATCACAAGGGTTGTCACTGTACAACTCTGTGAGAAGTTGATGTGGAGAACCAGCATGTCTCCAAATGAACTGTTGCAAAGAGAAGCACAGACCATAGATTTCCTCTGCAAAGACGTAGCAGTCTGCTGCCACATACAAACACACACACAAAAGAAATCTATACAGAGACCATGTTTAAATAACTATAAATAATATTAATTAGAATTTATGGAATGCATAATTCATGGAATTCACCAGAACACAAGGAAATCTCTGAGACAGTGTTGCAGTATTCACTTCTAAAAAAAAAAAACCAAGGACAATCGCCCTGTTCCCCTACAAAGACAGCTGTCCTTCCCGACGAAGGATTTTTTTTAAAAAATAATTCTCACCAATGCTGCTAGCAGCATCTTCCCCGAGGAAATATTAATTTACAAAATAACCCCATATCCATATAATTCATTTGACAAATAAAAATCTTAAATTAAAAAGCAGGATTCTCTCCCTCCCCGACCCTACCCTCTATCCCAGCCCCCTTTATTCCAATTTCAGGTAGCTTGGCACTGAATAATTGAACATTAAAAAATCGAGTTTGTAGACTTCGTACAGCTGCGTCTGGTGCTCGGAGCTGATGTTCTGGAAGAACTCCGTGGTCATCTCATCGGTAGTTCTTGTAGACTTTGTATAGGTGGGGAACTTCAGGTAGCTGCTCACTCCTGCCAGCTGGAGGACATAATTGGAATCCTCTTCCAGGGTCTCGTACTTGCCCACGAGGTCGTAGTGGATGTGGCAGGGGTGGCAGAGCGAGTAGACGGTTTGCCAGTGCTCGTTGAAGGGCTCCTCCCGCTGGGTGTGGGGGTCAATGAGATAAGCCACGAACTCCTCGAACTTGACATCAGCCCCCTTGTGTAGGGCCTCCTGGGTGGCATTCTTGCGCTGGCGTTTGATGATCTTGGTGCCATAGCGCTTATGGAAAGAGGTGTTGTATTTCTGGGTGAATTTGTTGCGGTAGGCAGACACCAGGCGCTCGAAGGGCTCCCGGACAAATAAGAACTTCATGTAGCTTTTCAAGCGATGGTTGATCTCTGGGATGCTGTATTGATTGAGGGTCTTCAGGTTGGCCGAGATGTGGGCCTCGTTGGCGGGGATCTCCATGGGGTCACTGTATTTGCCCCGCCCGGTGAGGACCATCATGAGACGTTTCCAGTTGGTACATGCCACCTTGGGCACATAGCAGTAGATGAGTTCATGGTCTTCATCCACCACCAAGTGCTTCAGGTCGTTGGGGGTGAGCACCCGTCGCTTGCGGCTCATGGCGCTGTTGGCTCGGCAGGTGTCTGTCACCTGGTCTCGCCTCATCTGGTGCAGGACTGCGGTGTTGGAGAGCTCCAGCTGCAGAGGGGACACAAGAAGGAGAACTCAGAGCTTGTTTAGATAATGTGGATCATGGATCGAGCTACTGAGGCCTGCTTGGTGACTCCACAGGGGACCAGCCAGGCTCTGCACGGTGAGGAGGAATGGCAACCCGAGATGCTCATAGTTTATGGGGACAGGGGGAGGGGACAGGGCAGAGAGGCGGCCACCAATGGAGCCACAGGGAGCCACATGGGAAGATGTTAAGGGCAAAAGTCTATGCAAAAATATGTACCCTCTACCTGAACTAGTCCTGTAGTTCCATGAGGAATAGGAAGCCCAAGGTCTCTCTCTCCTAGTCTGCCGCCATCTTGGTCTCCAATGTCTAGACACTCAAGAGTTCTTCATGGAACCCTATTCCTGGCTTAGTGCCTATCATCGTGATTTGCCTCTCTCAAATGTACATCATGGCCCTTCTGCTCAACAGAAAAGGAAGGAATTGTCCATCATAAAGCAATGGAGAAGCCGGGAGTACAAGGGCTAAGTAGTGGCTGCTCTGGGGTTGCAGGTGACATGGTGGCTTGATTTTCCTCCCTGTCCCAAGGGCATGCTCTTGCTCATACACACATTGATATATTCGTGTTCACATTCTCCTGCTTTTTCAGCTTCGTTCCTGCTCCTTGCTCTTCCTGGGAAGACAATCATTCCCTCTTTTCTGCTTGCCCAGGCATTCCTTGGGCCAGGGTTCAGCTGAGGAATCTCCCCCTCTTTGTCCCTATGGGCTGCATCCTTCAAGGCCCAACAAGGTCCCATGCCACACAATACGAAGATCATTTCTTCCACTAAATAGCCACAATACTGAACAGCCACACAATGCAACCCTCAATCAAACCATGCTTGGGGTGCTCAGCTCCTGTGGCTGCCGAGCCCTAAGGCCTTACTGCTTCCTCAGGTCAGACTGTGGGTAGCTTTGAGTCCTCAGGGTGCAAACGAGTCAGTGTAGCTACCTGGACAGCCAAGTCAGTAGAATCCAGAGCTCAGGGGACCTTGAAAGCTGGCCCAGCACTCCCAACTGAGAAACATAGGCTGCGCTCACTCCTTCCCTCCCATGCACAGGGCACCTGGGATGGGCCTACATTAGCAACCCTGGGTTCCCTGGACACCCAGGGGATATCTTGTGTGTGAGGGAAAGGGGCACTGTTAGGCAGATAGGGATTAAAAAAATGATGGACCTAACCCATAGCAGATAACATGGATTCCATCATGGCGTTTCTTGTTCTTATAGTGTCTCACGACACTTCTTCTTCCCATAATGCCTTGGGATGCCTGCTCAACCAATGGAAAGAGCCAGGGCAGGTCATGCACAAGCCATCTAGCTATTGGTACAAAAGCCAAAGAGAAGAGGTATGGGAGGAGTCCCGTCCTACAAAACTACCCTCCAAGAGGACTCCATGGGACTCCTCTTTGGGCCCCTGTCTGGCTGGAGAATTTCACTATTCCCTTTCATGACTTTCCTTTCCTTTCAAATAAACGTTCTCTATTTACCTTAAGCACTCTCTTGCCCTTTCATTCTGTAATGGGCAGAGAAGATGAATTTGATCCCCCCTAGCTGGTATCGCTGGCCGCAGAGCTGCGCGTCCGCCTCCTCTCACGGCCTCAGGACAGCAAGGATAGTGATGATGGAGATGGTGACCATGGCAACGGCAGACTGCATAACTGAGGAGCCCTTCTGTGCAAGATTCCTTCTCAGGTGGCTTCAGTGCTCAGCCAGCCTTGCTAGCCACAGCACTGTGAGCTAGGCACTGTCTCCATGAAATGTTTCACCTCCCCAGAGAGAAAGCCAACTACTGCCAAGGTGCTTGGTAAAGTCTTGTGTACCACAGCATGGGGACTCTTACTACGTCCGCTTCACAAATAACCGACTGGCTCTGAAGGGAGGTATGTGTGAATCATGCGCATCTACTTCACGGCTCAACTTCGGATGTGGGTTGGCTGTGCCTGGCTCCTGCTAGTACACAGTGGAGGAGGTGATGGAAAATTCTAGAGCCTGTGAGGAAGTCCCACAGTCTCTGCTCTTTTCTCTTCCAGGCAGTGCTACCCCAGAGACCACCATGCTGTGAGAAAGCCCTACCCAGACTCCTAGAAGACCAGACAGCGCCTCTGATGGCCAGAGTTGACTGCCAGCCACCCAGTGACCACAGCAATGGGAATGACCTAAACCAGGACTAGGCTGGTGGCCTAGGGTTGATTGGGTAGGCAGTCCATGCTTACTGTCTGAAGCCGAAAAGTTCAGCGTGGTGTGTTACCCAATAATAGCTATCTGAACATGGGTGCTGGGAAGGATGGCTGAGCCTGTTAACTAAATACCACAGGCAAAGATGCCACAAGACAGGCCAAGTGCCCCGAATCTGAACATTTGAAATTCAGAATGTGCCCAACTCTAGATTTTCTCTTAAAAAAATTGAAGCGGTGGGCTGGGAAGGTGGCTCAGTGGTAGAGTGCTTGCCTCGCATGCATGAGGCCCTGGGTTCGATTCCTCAGCACCACATAAACAGAAAAAACCCAGAAGTGGTGCTGTGGCTCAAGTGGTAGAGCACTAGCCTTGAGCTGAAGAGCTGAGGGACAGCACCCAGGCCCAGAGTTCTGGCCCCATAACTGGCAAAACAAAACAAAACAAACAAACCAAACAAACAAACAAAAACCCTGATGTGCTGGAGATTGAGCCATGGCTCCAGCCCCAAATCTGAACATTTCTGAGCACCAACATGACACCACAGTAGAAAATTCCACATTCTTCTATGTCAATGTCCAAACCAGGCGCATCCGAAATAGAGGATCAAATGACCTTAGGGCTATGTGGGTGAGGTACGTGTGATGGAAATTAGATATTTAAATCTGAGCCCATCCCTAAGATACCTATTTCATTACGCATATGCAGATATCCTCAAATACGAAAGTGGATGAAATGTGAAACATTTCTGGTCCCAAGCATTTTGGATAAGGGTCACTCAACCTATACATTTTTAATTGCCACTTGGTAAAGCCAGTTGTCCCAGGAAGTTTCCCAAATTGGAATGATTGACAAGTTATTGACCACTGGTTACTCACAGGCCAAGTGACAACAGTCAGTGAAGCTCATCCCCACCCTAAGGACAAAGCACTAGTCCTGTATATGCAGAGCCCAGGCCTGCTGTGTCTTGAGATCCAGTTTTGGTACCTTGACCCAAATGTGGGGGCTGGATCTCTCTGACCTTAGCTCCCCTGCCTGAGCTGGAGTCAGGGTTTCAGGGAGAGGCCTGTGTGTGAACGTGCCATCCCATAAGACCCCCAGTCAACATTCTTCCTCCCTTCCACTCCACCCTCCCCCGCAAGCCCTGGCTGCAAAGTCTACAGAAAGAGTTAGATCAACTAAGTGCAGAGATATGGCCACCTTTCATATTGGATGTAGTCCAATTTGTTCCAGGGGTCCAATTGGTTGCATGTATTCTGTTCAGAGTCCCACAGGAAAAAAAAATCTTCTAGAATATTCTTCCTCAGCACTTGGTCCCTTGCTTTAGATTTTGCCACTAAGGCTCAATGCCCAGTTTCTCCAAGTACCCTGTTCCAAGGCATGAATGACACTATGTGTATGCCAAAACTGCAGAAGGCAAGCAGCAGAATGTTCTGATTTTCTTTTATGTACAATATCTAGCAAGGATGCTAATAATATCTAACATCGATTATGTGAGTATTCACTGTATGCCAGCTATGTTACTAATGCACTATATCGATTAACTTATTTAGTGCAATCAATAATCCAGGGGGAAAGTATTTTTATCATCTGTTTCACTTTTTTATAGTACTATGAAGAGGGGGTTTGGAATGAGGGCTTTGTGCTTGCTATAAGCCATCCCACTAGTCCTTTTGCTTTTAGTTTGGTTTCCAGATAGACACAATCTTGTTAACTTTTCCCTGGCTCAACTTGAACCACAATCCCCCTACCTCTAAGTCTCTCATAGCTGGGATTACAGGTATGAACTGCTCCACCTGACACATAATCTTTGTTGTATGACTGAGGCTGTATCAGATGCACCAACACATGAAGAAAAGAGGGAATGATTTACAGAGCACTTTGCTGCTTCCTGTCTTACCCCGTGAACTCCTCCCAACATTGTTAACGCTGTGTGTTGTCAACAAACCAGTCCATACAACGGAACCTGTGACTCTGGAGCTCATGCTAAGCACACCACAGGGATATACAGGAGTCTCCCTGCCACATGCTAGCACATGAAGTGGTAGGCTTGCCTTTCCACAACCCCACTCCAGTGCCTGCAAAGTGCGGGCCTCATAATATATGCTCAATAAGTACTTGCTGAGAGAATGCATGAGAAAGTTAGCAGTAAGTATGCAAGTCCCACCCTACATAGCTGAAGGAGGATCCTAGTGATTGAGAGATAGCAGCCATACTGGCACAGTATCCCCCCATCTCCCCCTGCCACACACACACAGAAATTCATGCCCACACATACTCTCAGAATGTGATCTTATTTGTTGAATGTTTATGTAGATGCACTTGGCTAAGACGATTTCATAATGGATTAGGAGGGACCCTAGCCCAACAGCCTCTTGATCAAAACAGAGAGCCAAGCCAGCACAGTAAGGCCCTGGCTCTATCCCAAGCACTACAAACAAACAACAATGACAACGAAGACCCCAGAAAGCCAAGTCACAGACACACCTGGGGGAGAATGATATGGAAAGGCAAAGGGAGCAGTTGGAGTCGTGGTTCTTCAAGCCAGGGATACCAGGGTTACTGACAGCCACTGGGAGCTAGAAAGGAACAAGGAAGGGCATGTGCAATCTAACTGAAATAGGGGAAAAAAGCAGAAATAGGAGAGTTGAGATGAAGGATTTTAGCTGGTTGTGGGTTTCCTAGCAGCAATGGCAAAATGGGAAATGTGATTGAACCTCCTTGCTCTAATTTTCAGAAAGGAAAAGCATCCCAGTTGTTGTTTTTTTGTGGGGGGGAGGTAGAACCCTCAAGATCTACAAAATCTCAG